GCGATGGATCATCTGCTTTCATTAACGTTCGTTGAATGAGATTTTTTTTAATGTTTTGTGTCCGTGGCTTTGCACGAAATTGAGCATGTGCGTTGTTGTTCACGAATTGCCCTACCGCAACCTGCACTGTAAATGTCTTACGGTGAAAGGCTGCACCAACATATAATGGTGGAGATTTTCGTCAAAATATCGAAGGTACAATGGATTCTCAATGGTATGTTACGAAGTCAGCTGCACCACCTTAATATGAAACATTTTCACCATGATATGGATAATCTTCACTGTACAACATTTAGAGTGTGCCCTGTCCTGGACCTTTTTACGACGAAGCATTTTATTGAGGTGAACAGCGCGCCGGTCGCCCTCCGGAGACTTGGAGTCAACGACTCGGACAAGTACGGTGATTTTGACGAGACGCGTATTACCTCGGCGCCGTAATAGGCGCCGCGTTGCGGGGTAACGGGTAATCTCGGGTAGCCGGCCCGGGGGCCCGGCCCGGGGCCCGCCAGGCCCCCAGTGAGTGGACCGGCGTGGATGCGCTCGTCGCGCAGGTGCTACGCATTTATTAGCCTCGGTGCACTGACCCTCCGACGCCGACGCGGGGCGGAGGAGGCAGAGCTGCCCGTCAAGCCAGTCGCCAGCAGTCGGAGGCGTCTCTCTCTCTCTCTCTCTCTCTCTCTCTCTCTCTCTCTCTCTCTCTCTCTCTCTCTCTCTCTCTCTCTCTCTCTCTCCCTCTCTCTCCCTCTCTCCCGTGCGAGAGAGGCAGACGGCCGACCGCGCGGTGCTCGCGGAGTGACTGCAGGACAAGGAAGTCCACTCGGCGTGTACCGCGCACGCCGCGCACGCGGACAAGCAGGCGGGCGAGGCGAGGCGAGGCACCTTGCATTTCAATCGCGCGGCCGTCCGGAGCCGCATGTCCCCGTCCAACCGCGCGGCGGCGTCGCATTGGCCGCCGCCCCAAAAGGGGCAAAAGAAGACCGGCTGCAATTACTAAAGCTTGCACACTCTGCTGCCGGCAATGAAAAGTTTGACGAGGCCATCAAGGACGTTCGGACTCGCCGCGGGGGCGAGGCGCGCGGTGCGGAGTGTGCGTTCAGGGCGGGGCGGCTAGGCCGCGGTCAGTCAACTCCCGGCGGGACGCAGTCGACGCAGTCGGGCGCGGTGCAGACAGACGCACTCGATGGAGTGAGCCTCAACGAAATCGGTGCGGGAAGGGCGGCTATCAACCCGGCTATCGCTAGCTTCGCAAGCCAAGCCTGGCTTGGCCTAGCCTGGTGTAGAGCCCCCTTCCCCCTTTCTCTCGCCTTTTGCTGGCCGCGCCCCGCGTGTCTCACAAGGGAGGCTCTCCCTCCGCGTGCAGCGGAGCCCCGAAAAGTGCTTGAAACAACAACATTACAGCGAGACGGCTCGGTCCACCCAGACTGAGGGCTGTTCGTGATGCTTTGAGGCGCGCAAAGGTCGACTTAATGAATTGGAAGGCCTGATTGTGAAGCGAATAAAAAAGGGGGGGGGGCAATCTCGTCGCGGTACTGTTTACTCCACTGTTTACTCCACTTACTGCCGCGGCTCGTCTAATGCGAAGCCGAAAACGCAAAAAGAAGAAGAAACCCTAGACTGATCCTCAGAGCGCGACGACGATCGGTTCATTCTTTTCGGGACACGTGACCGCGGGGCTCATTTACGGGTCTAATTGGCGTGCATTTGTCCTAATTATGGCTGCACTTTGCGCCAGCACGTGCGCCTCCACCTCGAGGCTGGCCGTGTGTGTGTGTGTGTTTTTGTGTTTGTTTGTGTGTGTGTGTGTGTGTGTGTGTGTGTGTGTTCGCCACGATATCGCGGTCGGACTCTGAATTTCGCGCTTCGCGGCGTGGCGCGTTGCGTCACCGGCACGCGGAGTGCACGCGAGGCCGCGCGCGGGCCTCGGCGAACCTCAGCGAACCTCGGCGAACCTCGGCGGGCCTTGGCCTTGCGCCCCCTTCATTCAGGAGGCCTCGGAGGGCCTCACCGTGATGGGGCCGCGCCGGCCCCGCGGTGCTGCTCTGCGGCCGCCGCCTCGCCGAGCACAAGTGCCACTACGTGTACCACGTGTACTACGTGTACTAGGCGTCGTGCGGCCGCCACAAGCCCTTCACTGGCTCGCTCGGTGCGGCACACTGTAGAGAGGCTCTGCCGCTCTACATTGTGTTTCGAAGTCAGGCAAGGGGTTACCCACTCTGGTAATCGTGTGTACACTTCGTCCGGTAATCATTGGTAATCACACACCAAAACTGGCTAGTTTCGCCGTTTTCATCGGATTTTGGGGGGTTTTCTTATTAAATTATGCCAAAATGCTCTTAGCTGGCCAAAATTATGGAGTTTTTTGAGTATGTTTGTAGGTAATCACTGGTAATCAGTAATCCTGTGTACTCCTGAGCTGAGTGGTCAACCCCTTGAATTCAGGCGAGCCGGATGAGGCGACGTAATTACTAACATCGCTGGGATGGTCGTGCGTTGTCGGACCCTGGGGGGTGCATCTGCTCGCAGCCTTACGCACGTCGACAGGGCCATTGTCCTCCGCCTACCCGTGAAACCTGCCCAAGCAGCAACCCTTTGGCTCCAACGTCACGAACTGGTTCTTTTCGTTGTCGTCATTACCTTCGCGAGAGGGTGGCCAGCCGGCCATCCCGACCAGGGGGTCAATGCCAAGGGAAAACACTGGCCGTCGAACCCGCAACGCACTCGTCCCGCGAGTCAAAATACTGTGACGGTGCACTTTGCTGCGCTTGCTTTGCCTGTCGTGGACGTATTGACGCGAAATGCGAAGAAAATCAATAAATGAAAAGTGCGCTGTTTGCTCGGCAAACGTTTGGGTGTTCCGGGTGGGTGCCGCGGGGCGGGGTCGCGGGCCTTGGTGGCGCCTTGGCGCGCCTTGGCGGATCCGCAGACCATTCTTCCACTGGCCTGCTTGCCACTGCTTGCGCGCCCGATGCAATAACCCTGGCATCAATCTTTCGAGCTACTATCGAGCCAGCAGCCCGGCCCACGCCGCCACAGCCTGACTCACAGGCCGCTCCGCCCGCACCGCCCGGCCGGGGTTTCGGGCTGGGCTGTACACCTCTCTGACCCCTCCGCACGATCGGGGTTTAGGCTGTTCATCTGACAGGGCCCTGCAGGGGGGGCAACGAGATTTTTATTTTTGCCTCCAGGCAGGTCGATGGAAAGCGCCGGTGGCTTCAGCGCTCTTTGAGATCCCCGTACTGTCGTCGGCCCGGTCGCTCTCGCACTCACCGGCACTCTCCGGGGGAGACAGACTGAACTGGCCGCACCATTTCTATGCTTTCAGCGTTTGGGATTCATTTTGCATCATTGTGGCAATCAGGATTGCTAATTTTACTCGACGTCACCGAGACTGCCCCATGACAACTAAGTCGAGCTGGTCCGCATCGTGGAGGCCACAAAGTTGAAGGTCGCAGGGGGAATTTCCCCGCCGTCCGGTACGTCTCTGAAGAACCGTCGGAAATGGGCTGGCTGGTGTGCCGAGCCGGGGCGGTTCGAATAGAAATAAGAGGAAAAGGAAAAGGACTTGTTATCCGCTTTAAACGGCAGCGCGTCAGCGGGACGCCGGTTCAGAGTGCACCACAGCAACTTAGTGTGTGCGCAGCGCGAGCAGCGGCAGTGTTTCTATGGGTGTGAAAGAGCAGGTATCCTAAGTGGTTGTCGATACAGTGCAGCGCCAAGCCATGGTGAAGCCGAAGACGTCATCAGCGTTACAATCCGCCAATAACTTGTGTGGTGCAAGAAAGATTCCAAAAGCACCGCGTCCGTGTGTACCCACCTGAATGACAGCACCAAAAACTTTCTTTCGTTCAATCTTGTTTTGTGCTGATGGCGTTTCTTTCTTTCAAAGTCGACGATAGGAAAGGGGGAAAAGGGCGGCCAACAAAAGTGGCACAAAGGCCTTGTTCGCGCCAACTACCCTATCTGTCCCTGGCGGGCCTGGCGGGCCGGGGCACACCGTCACCGATAAGGCCTTGGCAGACAGGGCTACCTTGAGGCCTTGGGGGCGGCCGTCGGCCCGTCAGTGTGGGGGTCGGAGGGCGTTGCAGATGCCGAGCCATTGGCCAGCCAAGCCTTTGGCCAGCCAAGCGTTTAGCCAAGCCTTTGGCAAGCGAAGCCTTTAGCCAAGCCTTTGGTCAGCTAAGCCTTTGGCCAAGCCTTTGGCCAAGCCTTTGGCCAAGCCTTTGGCCAGCCAAGCCTTTAGCCAAGCCTTTGGCGAGCCAAGCCATTGGCGAGCCAAGCCTTTGGCCAAGCCTTTGGCCAGCCAAGCCTTTAGCCAACCTTTGGCGAGCCAAGCCTTTGGCCACGCAACTGGGCCGCGATGCTGCGCATGATGCTGCGGTTGGGTGACTGGGCACGTCCGCGACGGCTTTGGCTTTGGCTGGGGAAGCGGCACGCGCCGACAGGCCACGGAGGTGGCCATGGCCATGCCGACCGCACTCGGACCGCAGGCCACAGGTTTGGCGCTGGCGCCGATGATGAGGCGGTACCTGCGCGGGGTGGCGCGGTGACAACGCACCATCTCATTCATACGGTGCCCAGAAGACCTTTCGCTGGCGTCGTAGTCAGCCAATGTTTTCTCAACGCCAGTAGGTTTTGTGTTCTTCCGATTGGCCCACATGTGGGCTCACAGAGCGGTGGGGCTTGTTTGAGAGGGCGCCCCGTATGATACGGGCCGTATCGCCTTGGACCGGCACTCCGTGACACACCCGCATGCCTGTCTGCCTTTTTATTTATTTATCAATGAAGTCGGACGCATTGCGAGATCGTTTTCCTGTCCAATTCCACGAAACTTCCGTACGATTCCAGACAAAGATTGACACTTGCTCCTTCCGGGCCGGGCCGCAGTGCCCCGTGATAGCGGCTGTGGCGTGCGTGGTGGGGCGGGGCGGGGCGGGACGCGTGGTCCGGCCCCAGGCTGCGCGGGCTGCGCCGGCGCGCCGCTCTCCACCAGTCCGCCGCGAACCCCCAACCCAGGCTAACCCAGGCGCAGAAGCACGCCGGCACTCGGCCAAAGCACTGCGGCAAAGCCAGGCCTCTAGGCTCAAGCAGCGTCTCTCGTACGCCTGCGTACGCCCGCACCGAACCACTGCCCGAGTAGAGCGTTCGCTGCGTTCGCCCGCGCGCGTCAGTGTGTGTGCGTTAGTGATTGAGTGTGAGTGTGCGCCACCGTGCCAGTGTGCCACCCTGCTAAGGACCAAGGATCCCGGCTGGATGCTGGGGCAGCCGCCGAAGGCCCTCGCAGTGACTGACGCACGCCGGCCGCACCTTCCTTCAGCCTCAGTGAGTGCAGCGTGCAAAGCGTGCAAAGTGCGCAAAGCCTGCGGAGCGTGCGGAGACACCAAGTCGGCGGCTCTAACTCGGCCAGAGACGAAAACACCACGCGTTCGGCAAGTTTAAGTCAAAGTTGTAACGTCCCGGGTCGGAGCCAGAGTCTTATTTTCGTCTTTTCTTCGGCTTATTTGGTTTCCACATAGAGTCCGTTTGAAGCGCGGCAGAAGACAAGAGCAATGGTCATTCAAGGCGCGCGCAAGGGTTAAACGAGGCGAAACAAAGGTTGAGAGCAGGCGAAAAAAAGACGCTGCGCAAGCTTATCTTTTTCGTCTTGAAATTGTCTCTATCGCGTTTTGATTTAGGCTTGCGGAAGCCGAAAAGAAGGCGAAAAAAAGACGAAAAGAAGACTCGTACGAGCCCGGCAGAAGAGCCGAAAAAAAGACGAGATTGAGCGCCGCCGGCCTCCGGTCGGCAAAAGAGGTGGTGGGGGGCCAGCGACCGCACTGGCGAAAAGTAAACACAGCCTGCGCTTCGACGCAGCGTCGAACTATGAACCATGAGACTCGAAAATCGGTGCCGCAAGCCGCTGGGCCAGGGCGACTTGTTGGAGGTTGGCTGTCTGAGCTTGAGTCCTGTCTCACGCTGCCGCGGCGGCTGGCTGTTGACGACAAACTCGACGGCTGTGTGGTGTGACGGTTCAATACCATTCATTCACTCATCGTCCGATCTATTCAATGCGTATGATTTCGCTAAACGGTGATAGAGAGCACAAACAGTAAAGGCGATACAAAAAATTAAGAAGTGTAAAATAATATTAAACCGACACACCACACAGCCGTCGAGTTTGTCGTCAACGACACCCAACCTCCAACAAGTCGCCCTGGCCCAGCGGCTTGCGGCACCGATTTCCGAGTCTCATGGTTCATAGTTCGACGCTGCGTCGAAGCGCAGGCTGTGTTTACTTTTCGCCAGTGCGGTCGCTGGCCCCCCACCACCTCTTTTGCCGACCGGAGGCCGGCGGCGCTCAATCTCGTCTTTTTTTCGGCTCTTCTGCCGGGCTCGTACGAGTCTTCTTTTCGTCTTTTTTTCGCCTTCTTTTCGGCTTCCGCAAGCCTAAATCAAAACGCGATAGAGACAATTTCAAGACGCAAAAGATAAAGCTTGCGCAGCGTCTTTTTTTCGCCTGCTCTCAACCTTTGTTTCGCCTCGTTTAACCTTTGCGCGCGCCTTGAATGACCATTGCTCTTGTCTTCTGCCGCGCTTCAAACGGACTCTATGTGGAAACCAAATAAGCCGAAGTAAAGACGAAAATAAGACTCCGGCTCCGACCCGGGTAGGTTAAGCTAGAACTTTATCACTCGATCCGTTTAGGAGATGCCAAGTTTGGACACGTTGACACACTCATGGCATATTTTGCGTTTGGGAAGATAGCTACCCTCAGTTTTAAACAACCAGATTGTCCTGGAAAGCACATTGTGTTGACTTGCATGGCTGTTTTCAAAACTGCTCGACTGTCTAAACTCACTATTGCTACCAGTTGAGGGTGGTTATGGTCTCAGCCAAAACATAGATGGTCCTGGAGTTTAGCACACGAGGAAACTAAGCTACGGTATGGCTGCACAGACTTCAAGATTTTTCATTGATGTTGCTGCTACATGCAAATTCTCTGCAATCGTTGCTTGGCAGCACAACCACAAAACCTACACAAAAAAATCTTTTATCACTTCCGTGATTTTTCTGCACTCTGAGTTCAGTTACATTATAATTGGGAAGGCGTTCGGGTCGTGGCCGATCGAAGAACCTTTATCTAATCACGCGTTGTAAAAGTTTTTATGCTCTTGTTTTCTTTTCTCAAAACGTGGGCATTGGTTATTTTTCCCTGGCCTCGGTGCAGTGATGGGGAGTGACTCCGAACAGTGCTTTCTTCGGCCTGCCTTTGTCGCGCGGGGCGGGCCATGAGTGCGAGGGGGAGAGAGAGGCCACCCACTCAAAATGAGTCTGCTCGGCCAGCCGGGCCAGCCCGCCTAACCAAGTGACTGTTGGTGGCCGAGCCGGCAGAGGCACGCGAGTCACACTTTGGAGCAAAACGCAGCCAGGACAGCAACAAAAGAAAACGCTAGCTAAAATCTTAGAAAACTGGTCGTCAATATGACTTAAAGGAATTTGCAACCTTCCTACACAGTCAAGTATAACCGGCAGAAAGTTTGCACCTGCGGCCTGAAGTGCCCGCCGAAGAGACAAACTGGTTGTGGCGTCAAAGCGCATGGCGCTTTGTGGCACGCGCTGCTGCGACGTTTAACGTCTCGCATCTGTCAAGTTCAATGCCGCGAATCTTGCGCTCATGCAATCGCAAATTTAAACTCGACAGTGTATTATGCATAGTATCTCTTTTTGCCAATCGTGTGTGCGGCTTATGAGGTGCGTGCAAACTTATGAATTTATCGTCTAGATAAAGGTGGCCAGATTGTGCAGGAGCACCTGTAGATAAGACTCTTTTCACTACTGCAAGTGGGATTCAAAAGATACTACGTATTACCTTTGCGAGTCCGTAAAGGAAAGTGGATACAGTAGTAGGCTTCTCTGCTATCCCTCCCCCTCCTGGATTCTCAATTTCATGATTTGTTTCATTCGAGAAGAGAAAATTGAATGCCAGTTGGCTTGAAGCGCGTTTCGCTTTCCAATGGGACGGTCAGAGGTTTCGCTGGGGTGACGAAAGCCTAGCATAGTCCCACAGCTGTGAGGACACTCCAAAGGGCCTCGCTCTTGGATTAACACCCTGGGACCCGAATTTTCTCTCCTTCTTTTCCGACGCCTCTTTTGTCGGAGTGACTTTTTCTTGTCGGCTCTGTGAGTCGAGCTTGAACCTAGCGAGCCCATGCCATTGCGGCCCCGATGACGCCCTGGGAACGTGTCACTTGCGCGGCGTTGAGCACAATGACTCCGGGACGATGCCGTGGCGCCTCTCGCCGCGCAACCTCTCGCTCAGCTAGTCACTTAACTTCAAGCTAGACACCTGCAATTGGAAGCTTTGCGCGACACTTAGTTGCTTTGCTCGAACGCGCTCTAGACCTCACGATACAAAATGCGCTGGGCGCCACGTCGTTATTGGTTATTGGAAAGCCGTGCCGCGCCGCTTTCTCGAAGCAAGGCAGGCCAGAACTGTGATTGGGCAACCCATGAATTAACGCGGGTTCAAGGCAGCACCGCCACGGTGCCACCGCAGCCTCTCGTGCGTGTGTGTGTGTGTGAGTGAATCCGCGTGCCTCGTTGTTTTGGATGTGTAATTTCATTTCCCCACGTCGTACCATAGCGCGTAATGCTCGTAATCGGCGCAATCGAACTTTTGTTGCTTTTTTCTTGTTTTCCACACCCGTCTGGAGGCGGCGATGCTGATGGACGTGAGGTGGTGGCGCGCCGTCGTCGTCCCCGGGCTGCCCCCCGGGCGGGGTGCTTGGCTAGTGCCTGACCCCCGACACGAGCTATATCCAATTAAGACTTACGCCTGCGAGAGCGTGAGCGCGAGAGCGCGAGAGCGGTCGCCTGAGCGAGGAATCGGAGGAGTGGGGGAAGAGTTTGGAGGGGAACTCTTCCCCCACTCCTCCGATTCCTCGCTCAGGCGACCGCTCTCGCGCTCTCGCGCTCACGCTCTCGCAGGCGTAAGTCTTAATTGGATATAGCTACGAGGTTGACGCTCTCGACGAGCAGGCCGGCAGGGGCGGCTTCGGTGCTGTAACGAAGGCACTGACCGGCGCGTCCTTGATGCCATGCCCGCCGTGGGTCGGCATGCCTTCCTGTGGTCAGGGCCTCCCTACGCGGCTACGCCTTGCCACGCCTTGGTCGGCGAGCACCTCCATCCTTGCCGCTCGAGCGCCATTTCGTCGCAAATTAAGGCAATACCATGCATTCGCACGGTAAAAAAACATTACGAAGTACGTCGAGCATAACTATATGTTTTATGTATAAGGCGAATCACATACTTTGTCATTCGAAGTAATGCTTCGTTAATTAAGAAGTATTTTGCTCAAAATTCGTTGTCAAATCATTTTCTTTCTTTTTAGCAGATGATACGTTCACGTATCAGCGTGCTTGTACTCTCGTGCAGAGAGTACCGAGTTTCCGGCTAGCCAGGCAGCAGTTGCCTTGTTGCCTGACTAGCAAGCCTAGAAGAGGCCGAGCGCCTCGCTGGCAAGGCAGCGGCTGGCTGGCCTGCCTAGAAGATTATGAGCGGAGGGCCCGCAGCGTGCCGCGCCGCGCCGCGCCGCGCCGCGCCGTCGCCCGCCGCACCATGAATCGGGGCGGCTGCGTGGGCTCGAGTTGCGCGCGCGGCGTATAACCTCGACACCCAGTTATCTAGTATACTCATGAAGTGCGTCCCTCGCGTTGCGCGTCGTTACGGGACGCTGCTAGCACGCATCGCGTAGCGGCCCCCCTCGCCCATTCCCTTGCCGAGACGCCACGTCCCGCCGCGCCCCGCCACACCCCGCAGCAGTCTACACACACACACACACGCACTTGAGCCTTGAGTGCGTAGAACGCATAGTGCAGCGCCCCCCGAACCCCTGCCCCTCTCGAGAAGCGGCGCGTCGGCAGTCGGCAGTGTGCGCCTCTCTTGCTTATCTATCTTGAGGTCGGGTTCGGGTGGCGCGCCGGCCGGCCGGCCTCGCTTGGAGATGTGGCTGACACGCCGCGTGCCGCAAGGCGCCTTGCCCTAGTACCGAACACAACTTTTATGGGTATTGAATAGTTATGTGATTAGCCACCAAATTGTGCATCCTCGCGTTGAAACAACGAAAATGATACCCAACACAAGTGGTATCGGACATATGAGTGTCCCACCGTCATTGCGAACATGGCACGTTAGGATATTCAAAAGTTGTACTAAAATTGTCATTTTCATGAATTACCATGCGTAAGAGATTTGTCAAAAAAAGAGTTCCGAATGTTTACTCTTTGAAAGAAATTGACAAAATGTCACATTCATACATTTCAATAAACATTCTCACAAGTATCATCTGCTTTCACGTTAGCGTTAGCGTTAACGTTTTTTTTGTAAGAATTCGGGAGAACAGATGTGAATGCGTCCAACGATAGCGCAATATTGGCCCTGGGGCGCACA